TACCGATAATAGCTTCAACGGAATTGTTTTACCGATGGTAGCTTCAAAGGAATTGATTTTAAAGATTACAATGTGCCCCTCATTTGGTATTTCTTGATGCAAATTAAAAAAATATTTACTCACTTCATATGATTTGCATAACAATTTTAATTGCTTTAACGCATCAATAATAATTCACATAAAACACATGCACAACATACGTGTCCATAGACTAGTAAACAAATAAATGTGATCATAAGGAAAAATAAATGCAAATTAGTCACTAAATTAATGAAGGGAAAAAAAGTTCATATGTGAGAAGGATCAAATATGCCCCTGTACTTTGCTAAAAGGATCATATATACTTCTTATGGATTTTAGTTTAATAAAACAAGTCAAGAATAGATCAAAATCATTTTTTTTACTTCTATTCGCCGAAAAGGGTATATCTGTAGAAATCCGTATAGAAATCTCACGTCTAAGACTTAGAGAAATCAAGGATTGTATTGACAATTAATGTATTGATTGTATTGATCTATCGATAGGTTGATCAGTATTGGTAGTATTGATATGTTGATCAATATATTTAGTATTGATATGTTGATCAATATTGATAATTGATCGTATGATCAATAATATTGATAGATTGATCAATATTGGTAAATTGATATTATTGATCAATAATGATGTTATTGATAAATAATAATGTTAATAGCATACTCCTTATATAAGAGAGAATTGTAGTCTTGTAGAGTCCAAAGTTAACTATACGTAGAATTCTACTACAATACCTATTACAATAATAATACAACTATAAATAATCTAATCCTAGTTGTACTATAATTCTAATCATAAAAATAATTCTAGATGAAATATAATTCTAATTAACATAGGTAGTCTAATCCTAGTGCGACTCTAATTCCTCAGCAGTATTGCAACTCGCCAGTCAGCTTTGTTCGACATGTTCCAATCCTCAGCTTCTCTCTTCATCAACACGATAGACAAGTCAGTCAACTGCGTTGGACCTGTTCCTTTGTAATGACCCGCGAGATCATTTTTGGGAATTTGGAGTATTTGCTTAACTTGAGTTAATTAATGGATGAATAATTGTAGATAATTGATTAAATTAATAGTTAATGGGCTAAAGTGATAAAAAAATTTAAGACCTTATACCCTTTAGCATCGGCCCATTTACAATTTGGTATTTGAAAATGGGGAATTAATCATGATCGTCAAAGAGAAAATCCATGAACATTTTCTGCCTTCTTCATCATGCACACTGGTTTGCATGTTTTTTTGTTTTTTTGTTTTTTTTTTTTAAAAAAAATGGACCACTTTGTGTACATATGTTTGGAATTGGAAAAGGAACACATCACTGGCCAATCATTATGTAATGATGGTCACATGATTGCTAATTAATTAGGATAATCAATTGATAGTGTTGGATTGTGAATTTTATGTCGCATGATGTAGTAATGGTTAGTGTTTATGACATTAATTTTTGGTTTCACAATTTTCTTATAGTGTATGTTAACCATAGTATTGTAGTGTTTGGAGTGAATTCTTAGGTCAAGGTTAAACACATAAAAGTGTGAGTGTTGTTAGTTATGAAACCTTATTGTAAATATATATACTTGAATAGATTCCATTGGTTCGGAAGCTCAACGGAAGGGGAAGGCTCAAGTCCAAGAATAATTATTCGATTGACTAAGGCAAGTGGATTTCTAAACTCTTGTTAAGCGTACGAAATTCGTGTATTTCCTTGTGTGATGTTGAGAATGATTTGGAGACTTGATGTTTATTTGTTGGTGTTGTATTTCTTGTTGTAAATTGTGCTTTGTTATCAAATGGTTATCTCCTCCTTTTCATTTGAGCATGTCATTTGCATTGTATCTGAGATATGGTTGTGGTAAGAGGATGATGTACTATTTTCGAGGGTCGTATCGCGCGCCGCGAAGGTTACTATTTATCGAGGGTCGTGTCATTGCGCCGCGACAGATGCATGGACAGATATGTCCCCCATGAGTCCCGGACTGAGAGACAGCGGGTGTGTATCGTTAGGGAAGACATGCATCACTATACTTGACATTGCATCTCATGGCATTACACATTTTATTATTGATGAACTTGAACACGTGTTTTGTTGATCTTGTGAGTGTTTCTCTGTGAAGCTTGTGACTGTTGAATATTGAGTTGTTATTGAGAATGTGTAAACTGATAGAGTGTGGTTATTGAGTTGTGTGTTTGGTAAACTGTAAACTATTAGACTGTAGCGTGGAGGTTTAGATATGGTGTAAGAAGTGCCCGTATTTTGTTCACTTAACTTGTGTTTAGAAGTTTGCTTGTTGGGTACCGCGTGGTTTGGTACTCACTCCTTGCTTCTACAAATTTTTTGTAGGATACGAGCCTGGATCTTCGTGATACCTGTCATTCTTTCCGTTTCCGAGGCATCTTGTGGAGGATTGTGAGGTAGTTGCTTGTCATCTCAGCGAACTTTCCTACTCCAGTTTATGACTTTGTTTTTACTTGAAAGACAACTTCATGTTAGACTTCTATTTTATTTCAATTCTAATATTTACATTAGAGGTTTGTGCACGTGACAACCTGATTTTGGGGATTGAATTAATATGACTTGGTTTCATAATAGGAATTGTAGATGGATTGTCATTTACTTCTGCACTTTGTTAGATATTTGGTTTTAGGCTGACTTGTCTTGGTGGGATAAGACGAGTGCATCACACCCATTTTTGGGTCGTGACATCCTTTGACATGTTTCAATCATCAGTTTCCTTTTTCTTCAACAATAAGTCCTATTAATTTTTTCACCTATATGTTTGCTTGAGTACATTATAATCTATTTAGATGATGAACAATTTAAGTAAACTTATAAGTTTTTGTAGACTCTTCTCTATAGATAATTTTATTGGTAAAAGAAAGTGAGCATTGATAATGAGTTAATTAGCTTTGAAATAGGTTGGGATTTGTTTATTAAGTACTCTTCATAAATTTAGCATTCAAGGATGTGATCCAGTAATAAATGAAATGACTTAAAAATCGTAAAGTGTGTGGTTTATATCCCAAGAATGATAAAAATACTAGGAAATTTCTTTTCGGAATTTTATTGAGATGCTCAATTTTTTTTAATATATAAATAGTCATAGATTTATCATACAATAATGGTAATGGCAAATTGATGTATCCATCACTCTTTCAGAAACACTTACAGCATGTCTATTTGAAAAATGCTAGTAAGCAGGTCTTTCTTTAGAACGGATTCATTTCAGAACAGAAAATCAAATTGAGAATTAGAATCGCACTTGGAACTTATCGCTAGAACGAACAACCAATAAACAAAGCCACATTCACCTCTTGTTATATAGCTGTTTGAAACTTGTATTGTGGTCAGTGTAGTCACTTGATTATTAGTATGCTCTTATCTGTTTTAGTCATTTAATATCCTACTATTTTTTTCTCATCACTTAATAATTTTACATTTTATTATTATATTTGTTTTATTTTATAAAACAAAAAAATATCCTTTCTTATTATCTTATTTGATACAAATTATGATACTAATAAAAGTTGTTTTTCTGTGATTAGATAATTTTTTGAGAAACATGCTGAAAAGAGAATTTCAGATCGAAACATAATATTTGGGTCTTTATTGATGGTTGTTCTCCTAATCTTTGTTGGAATTATTTAAAAATTTGTGTAATAATTTATTTTTTTTGTTACTGGTTCAACAGAAAATTCTAAACTTTGATATGATTTTGTAATTCTCTTTTGTATCAAACTTTGTGATGGACACATCAGAATTTTTAAAAATAATAACGTGTGATAATTTTTTATAGAAACTTGTGGGGAAAGTAAGAAAAGAAAGGAAATAAACATTTTAGGAAACTATTTTTTCCCAATCAAATTGTTACCATAAATATTTTCCTTTCCAAATCAAATATATTTTTCCTATATATAGGTTTACATTAACAAGTAGATCCCATTCTAAACTTTCTGGTAATCTATTACAAAACACAGGGAAGAAACAATGTCTCAGCATGATCAAGTTCCTTGTTGTTGTAGTCGTACATTACCACCTGACGCCGCTCTCTTGAATCGACTACAACACCTCATGCCTCCTGTTGATTATAGTTTCATGTCTCATATTAAGTTAGAACATTCAGATATTGGTGAAATTGTCGATGAAATTGAAGAAGAAGAGTTGTTGGATGAAGATAGTATGGAAGAAGACGAGGAAGAGGAAGAAGAAATCATGAATGAGTTAGAAATTTGGAATGGAGTATGATATACATGTGCTTGATCAAGGCAATCAACAAACAAGTGGAAGAAGGACTAGAACAGCTCGAATGCAAGTGAATACTAACTACATTCGATACAATATTCAAGTGCCTCAATCCATTCTTGATGACACCTATACTGATGAAATTGAAGAAGAAGAAGAAGAGGTGGTTGAGGAAGAAGATATGTCTGAGTATTTTGGAAAAAGTACATGTTATGTTACTTGTGTTATGGACATAGACACCAACGAAGATGATGAGGAACAAGATGCATGTGCTATCTGCTTACTTGAATATAAAGATGAAGATAACATTGGCACACTTCAATGTGGCCATGAATTTCATGCTGAATGCATCAACAAATGGTTGCACAGGAAAAAATCATGTCCTTTTTGTAGAGGCTTCAGTTTTGCCCACAAACACATCACCGTCTGACATTATTCTGTAATGATTCACTTTGCAATCACAATTCACATTTTTTAGTCTTTTACTTCATTCTTTATTCTAGTTTTTGGCCATGTAACAATTGACATCTATAACACATTCAATTGAGTTCTGTGAATACTTTTTGGCCTTGTCACCTGTTTATGTCATATATTGTTCGAAAAGAAAGGCGAAGTAATAAGCCAAACAGTCAATACTCTTGTATAACACAAACGGAGCATAAGGAATTGAAAATATTTCTCAATTCACGATAAATCAAACAATCAATTACAAGACAGGATAAAATGTGTTAATAGTTTCATACACGTAGCACGATTCAGAATCTTTTTGAAACAAATATACCCTATTTTGGAGGTCCATAAGCAGCAGCTAATACAATAAATCATTGACCAATGGAAGCAAAATAGAGAAACAAGGATAAAGAATGATATGAATAAAGCTAATTTGGATACTATTCAATCTTGGGGGTGCACTCAATTCAACAATGTCTAGTTATCCAGTGAATAAAGCTATTAGTGCTAAGCAATTCATGTGGTTAGAGGTTGACGTACAAATGTCATGTGAAATTCAGCTCAAAACAAAAAGAATCTCTTCCGCGGTGTAGATTACTCTTTGTTCTAAGCAGAACAGCACCCAGCTTTCTTTACTTCAGAAACATCATCCTTGCCTCCAACATTTATCGTCTGCCCCTTGGGAACTGCTGCCGGGTCATCTCCTACTTCAAGAGCTTTCCTGCTAACAACGCGGTGTATTTGAGTGAGCACTTCTGTGAAGGCACTTTCAACGTTCATGGACTCCAAAGCGGATGTTTCCATGAAAAATGTACTTTCCTTCTCTGCAAATGCCTGGGCATCCTCAGTAGAAACAGCACGCAGATGACGCAAATCTGCCTTGTTACCCACCAGCATTATGACAATGCTAGAGTCAGTGTGATCTCGGAGCTCTTTTAACCATCTCTCTACATTCTCAAAAGTTACATGACGGGTGACATCATAGACAAGCAATGCTCCAACAGCTCCTCGATAGTAGGCACTCGTGATTGCGCGATATCTTAAGCAAAGAGACACAATTGAGAAAATTAATATAATACAACGCATCAAATCAAAACATTTCCATACTGGAAAATAAGATACACAGTGACATGAAAATTGTACCAGGAAAAAGAAGATGAACACACAATATTTATAGGACCTTAAGACTGTTAAAGTTTATAGAAACATGGTAAAGTCAAGGCTGGAAAACTAATACAACAATAGATATGAAAAGAAAGTCAAGGCTGGAAAACTACTACAACAATATATAGGAGAAGATGAAGAATGAAAAGAGTCTCATAGTAATTAGTACACAAACTTATTCATAACAATAACATGATCACATCTAATTTCGGACTTCAAAATGAACAAAGACTAAATCATTTCAAATATCAATGTTACCCTAATGAATGCAAATTAGGAAAAAGAACATTGCATCTTAAATCCATGATTAAAAATGTGAACACTAACTTAATTATGCAGGGAATAGTAGGGTGGCAGTACTTGTATATTTTATTTTTGAAAATGAGTAGGGTGGCAGTAATTTCAAAGTCAAAAGTTCAGTATTGTAGCCTTGATCATCCTAGTTGATCCCCTGGATCTTTTGTTTGAGGAGAACAACATAAAAGCCATCAAACTACATGACTATTTCATAAAGCAATGTTCAAGTTGATATGATGCTCAGAGTTTAGCAAAGTCAAAATTTCTCTAAAGCTTAGCACACATATGGGAAAGACACTTGCAACGCTTAGCCACCAAAGCAGATGCCAATGTATGACACTTTAGACACCCAGCTTAAGACTAGTTGTTGTTTTTTATAAGTAATCTTCTTAAGCCTATTGTTTTTCCTTTTAGCTTTCCGACATCACCCATTTCTAGATCAGTTAACTGAAAGCCGTCTTTGACGGGTATCATTGGAGGAGGCAGTAGAATACATTAAAAGGGAGATTAGAGAAGGAGAGCCAAACAGAACTTGAAATCCTTTCTAGCCTGGGTCTACAGTTCACTTGTGAAGTGTTCTCAGTGACAACAGGGGGGGTGAACTTGTTCAGGACAACAAATATTGATTTCTGAGGACGGTCTGTCCAATTCTCTTGCCCTCCGATTACGAATTGGTGCAAGAACAACAAAAGGCAGTGGCTTTTCCCTACGCAGATTGACTATGATCTCCAAAAAATTATTCAGACAGCAAAACTCCTAGCAGTTCCGCAGTTCCTACTCTAACACTCTTAGAGTTTTTACAGTTCAGAGTAATCAACACACAAAAATTGGAAATTGACATTTTTCTGCAAAATATTTAGGTGGTATTCGTTTCAACAAAAATCATTTGCCAAAACCTGAAAGAAATTTTCTTTCAACCAATGGCAATCAAAGAACATTTCAACATTTTCTGAAACAATTGTACACGAAACAGCCTCTCTGCCTCCCAAGGTAGGGGTAATGTCTGTGTACACTATCCTCACCCGACCCTACTTTACACAATTACACCGGTATGCCATTGTTGTTGCCCTACTGGTACAACTTGCACTCATTATTAAACCTAACGGATATATCAGATCTGACTTTACCACAAAAACTATACTACATAACGTCAATTATTGCAAATCAATTTAGTATCAGCATTTCAGATCTCAAATATTAACATATTATTCTAATATCTACCGCAAATGCTAATCTATCCAATATAGAATCAAAAATTCAGCCTTGAGTAATGAAATAATGGAGATACCGTTCCTGACCGGCAGTATCCCAAATCTGAGCCTTGACAACCTTATCATCAACACGAATGCTACGAGTAGCGAATTCAACGCCGATCGTTGACTTTGACTCCAAACTGAACTCGCTACGTGTAAATCTGGATAGAAGATTAGATTTCCCGACGCCGGAATCGCCGATCAACACCACCTTGAACAAATAATCGTAGTCGTCGTCCGATCTGTACGCCCCCATTACTGGTGGTCTCTCAATACGTTTATATATATATATATATAATATATGTATGTATAGAGAGAGAAAATGAAGAAGAAGAGAGATGAAGGATCGGAGAAGAAGATGCAGAAAGTGGGGGAGGGGGGGTTTAGTGGGGTGGGGTGCATGGAGAAAGAAGGACTTTTATAAATAGCCATTTATAAGACTTCTATTTAAATTATAGCCATTTTTAAGTCAATTTCAAAAAAAACAAAGTTAGAATTTAGACATATACATATTTTAGTTTATTTGCATACATTTTTACATTAGGTTTAGGCTATATAATTGAACTTTAACCATTTTGGTATGATATTTAGGTCATATTCGGTAGATGTTTAATCATTTTTACGTGAACTTTTGACATTTATAGAACTTATGCTATTATTTGTGCTTGAGAAATGTTGGTCATTGTTAAAGCAACAATGGAGAGTTATAATATAAAGGAGAAAAAGATATATACAAAATAATCAATGTGTTATATATGTATCACAATCTAAATTTGTGAAAAGCACATATTCTAGCAACTCTTTTGCATTGTTCAAGTGATGGATGTCAATTATGGGTAATGTTATAATTGTTTAAATACCTATGCGACGAAATTGACGTAGAAGGTCAATCCTTATTATAACAATGAAGATTTTCAAATTTGAGACTTTTAATTACAGAGATTTTAAATCAAATCGTCTAAGTTGTCCTGAACGCCAACCCCTGTGAAAGCAAACAAAGGGTTACAAATTTAATTTTTTATTATGGAAGTTGCAAATCAAACCATTTGAGTTACCTAAATGATAAAATTGAAAATTTTGATATACCATTTGTTTAATGGATCTCCACTTTATACGCCAAAGTCCAATCAATCTCGTAGTTACTTCACTATTTATAAAAAACAATGGACCAATTAAGTTATTAGTTAAAACCCATTAGCCGGTCAATTAATTTGGATTAGGTAAAAGCTCTATTCATTCGTGGAATTATAGTAAATATGTTATTATTGATGTTATATATTTGAATCGTAACAAGTTTGAACAGGACTCTTTCAAATTTGATTTCTATAAAAATAAAAAAATTGATAATTTAATTTGTGTAAAATCTACAACAATATTTTTTTTTTTAGAGATCATATTTCATCGACTAAAGTGGTGTCCATTTCTTTGCAGCACACCTCAGAGGCTCAGACTCTTAGTTGTGAAATGAGTATTACATACATACAAATTATTTAGATTTTTTTTGAGTCTTTTTATCTGGTATTCGATATTTATTTTAGAGTTTGTTAATATGAATTCACACTGAAAATACTTATAGTAAATAGAAATTTCTATTAAGAGAGAAATGACCTCATTCACTGCATTATCATATTCATTATTCGTATCAATTATTTTAGACTTTATATATATATATATATATATATATATATATATATATATATAATATTTTCTTTTAAAAATCGTTTGATATAAGATATAAGAACGATACCCTTATTATTATATTAATGTCACTATTTACTATATATAAGGATAATATTAGATGGGATGAATGACTAATAATATAGATAGAAAATACTGTTAAGCAAGAAATTAAAGAATATTAAACCCATTTTAATTCCATATTGCTATTTTTCGTTTATTTTTCTAGTTACGTAGTATTATTTTGGATGCAACATATATTTAAGGACATTTACTCTTTTTGTATCGACAAGAAATTAAATCTACTTTAATTCTATTGCTATTTTTCGTTTGTTTGGTAGAAAAATTAACTCATTCTAAAGTATTTTATTGATGTATCACTATTTTTTTAATAAAATTTTCTACACACGTATAAGCTAATGATGTTTACAACTACTGAACTTTTGTTATTTAGGTTGCTTCTCCTATGAGTGCTTGTGTTCAAAATTTTTATTAAGATATTCTTCAATTTGTTGACATTATAATTATTTTGACATATATAATACCCAAAAATAAACAAAAAAAAATATTCTTCATGGAATCAACACTTAATTTTTTTCAAATTCTCTCTTTGACAATTAGTGAAAATCAATTATAATTTCCTTCTTTCATACATCCCAATAAAAATTCCACTATTACCCTTCCAATAATACAACATTTCTTGTATATATGTGGTTGAAGGAATTAAAATGAATTGAAACATTAAAAAAAAAAACATTGACTAAATAATAAAATAAGATTTTTATGGTCCCATAAAATGTGAGAGATCAATTCAGTGATCTTATCTTGTCAGATTAAGGAGATTTTGCCACATGAATTTGCTGAATGCCATCACATAGTCTAATTTTCCTGAACGGTAAACAGGTTGTTCGATTCAAAAGTCTTTTTTTAATTATTTTTTTAAATGATGTATCAATCGAAATCAAATAAATACCTAATTGACACTAAGTTGTACTTTGATCTCTGGAGGAGTATTAGTGGAATCAGCAACTGGTGTAGTGTTGTTGTTGTCCATTTGCTGCTTCATGTTTTGTTGGTAATAAATTTGCCTCAACCTCTCTATTTCCACTTTCAATGCTTCTTGATGAGCTATATATGTACGAACACGTGCACTCGTTAACTTCGAAAAAAATTATATATATTTATATATAAAAAAATTAAAAGTTATAAATTTCTAATGTCCACAATTAATGGAATCAATCAAAAATGACCACACAAACTTACCATCTTTAAACAATTTATCTTGGGCAAGAGCAGCAATTTTTTGCCTGAGGGCACTATTGTCAACATTTAGCAATAAACGTTGATGGTCCAAAAATGCAACTCTTGGTGACAGTACAGAAACTTCAGCCTTCAATAAATCAAATAAACAAAATAAGTGAGGTACACGCAATATTTTATTCGAACTTAAAAGATAATATTATGAGAAATTTAAGATGAAATTATGTGATAAATAATTTCACATACTTGAAGAGTAGTAACACTACGTTCGAGCTCTGATACGTACTGTAGTTTCCTCACCCTTGACCTTTGCGCAGATTGTCTATTTGCTAAAATCCTGATATAATTATCGGGTTTTTTAAACTTCGTATTGAGTCATAATTACGATTCAATTAAGTATATAATTAGTACCTTTTGATTCTCTTGGGATCAACAACTCTTTCAGAAGAATATTCATTATTATTAGTACTTGCATTTTGATTAGCTGTGGCTAATTCCTCATTAGTCTTGCATGAGCTTTCAACTTCCTCATTTTGATCACTCTTACGCTGCATCATCATTTGATCAGGGCCGTTCATCTTTTTATCTTCAGTAACGTTGATGTAATCGGACGGTGATGACGGGTTGGAACACGACATATCGTGGACGTCATCGTTAAACATGGACATAATCTGTTGTTCGTCATCGAATCTCTCGAATTCGTCGTGACCGTTAGTGGTCCCACCGGATCCCGGAGTAGTACTGGATAGCCTCCGGCATTCTTCAACCATGGGCGACTCCAAAAAAGCTATGGAGTCGCTCATTGATCTTCGGTGGGACCCACGCCTCGACGACATGTCGAGGAATTCGTCCGCCCATAAATTATGGGCGGACGGAGCTAAGTTTTCCATTTTTTGATGAAGCGAAAAATCAGGCCAATTTTGTGTCATGTTAGGCGCTCTTGGTGGTAAGTGTGCCATTTTCTCGCTTTTTTTTTTTTTTTGTCAAAATCGATGAAATTTTAAAATAATTACAATTTACTTTACAACAATAAAAGAAAAAGACATTCAGACATACCTCTAACCGTTGTTGATTGAAATAAAATTAAATATATCGAGTTCAGTCACTTGCCTGAAGGAAGGAACTATCTGATCCGATCAAACAAACTCAAAGCTAAATGTAAGGGTGTTTTTACAAAGTGAAGAAAATATGAACATTTTAGAAGAGAACATACACATGACATTGTTTCATGAGCTATCAATGTCTATAAGTTTGAATATTTGTCTCATTAAGAAGCAAAGAAAATTAAAATTTGTCTACAACATGATAAATTGACAAATTAAAGAGGGGTTGGGGTGGGGTGGGGTGGGGGTGGGGTATTAAGAAGGTATCACATGGGGAGATAGTAAAGACAGCTATCAAACAGCTGGTGGGAAGTTTGGAGTCTTAACTGTATTACTACAAAGTAGGAAATAGTTTAATAATATAGAGAACTTGCACCACATGTACCCTTGTGCTCATCACTCATCATCTAAAGCCTCTCTAACTTCTTTTTCATTATTTTTTTAGTTTGACATAAATTATTATCGAGTATTTGATTTGAGATAAAATTTAAGAAATGAGAAGTGTTTCTTACATGTATTATATACATTTTAAAATTTGTAATAGTTTAATATATAGTCATTTTGATAAATTTGTCAGGATATTTAAGTTAGATATTCAAATTCAGTTATATGACTTCAATTCTGAATAAAATATTTTAAGTAGACACTTTCGATTTTTAAATTTTGAAAAAGAAATTTGTGCGTGCTTTTATTGCGCGTGTGCGTGTGTGTTGTCTTCTTTAGTTATGTGTGTCAACTTCAAGTAGAAAATGTTTGAGTTTTTACGATTATTGAAAGCGAATATGTATGATTAAATGAAATATAATTGTGAAAAATGTACTTTTACCCTGTTTTATAGTAGATTTTTATCATACAAAGATAGGGCGAAAATGCATATAAAAGTATATTTTATGTAGTTAATAAATAAATGACGGTACACATAAAATAATTTTCAAATTTTGAACTAGAATTATCTAATTTGAATACTTTAATACAAATTGATATATAACATATTCAATTGAAACATACAATTTTGTTCTGATAAATTCAAGAGACTGATTATATATTGGTCAATACGTCTTAATTAACGATTGAAGAATCATCGATCAACTCTTGATAACCTAAACAAAAATGTATGTACATATTTTGAATATAATTATTCTGACAGATTAAAAAGAAAAGAGTGTCGGATAATAAAATTAGAAGAGAGGAAGAACCAATTATGTCACCCTAGTTAACATGCATAATTATGATTTAGAGGAATTGAGAAAGAACATTCCTCTCTACATACTCTTTTTTTCAAGCATAACTGTCATGCACGTGCTATTGAGCACCGCTTGATAAATGAATAATTAGATGTCATGATTTTGAATTTTAGAATAATGATTTCAAGTGATTACAGATCGATAAATATAACGTGTTAACAAATAAAGTCTTAATAATCAGATATGATTTTATATATGTATTAAAAATTCATTAAGTAATATAACAATAAATTTCAAAATTATATTTGTAAAATTTTGAAATTGCTAGATTTAATCAAACTCGTAACTTAAAACATGGTTCCTCTGATATACGTTTGTTTATTCATATCATAGGTAGAAGGCCGGGGATACTAATATTCTTCGCTTATGAAGATACAAATAGGAGTGAGTCCACTTAACTCTCATCAATAAAAGAAATTTTATTTAACTTTTAAAAGATATAATTTGAATCCGATTCAATAATATTAAAATTTTTAATTATGAGTAAGATGAATCGAATTTCAAGTAGAATAGTTTATACATGCAAGAAGGAATAATTAATTTATCACTTAACGTGAATATCTACTATATATGTTCGATATGTTTGGGAACATTTATTTTATTATAAAGAAAAATGATATAAAAAAAGATATAAGCAAAGTAATGGAATATTAATGTGGAAGATGAGCTGTGGAATGTGAAAGAAGATATTATGTCTTGCCATGTGAATGTTTTATGCATTTTTTCTCACTTTGTCTCAAAACTAACTTCACATGTAGGCCAATATGTTTCTAATATATTTCTTTATTTGTACCTTCCTACCATATTCCCAATTAAAAACTAGTTGTCTTTTTTTTTTTTTTATATATATATATATTTTAATAATAAGAGGCACTAGTCATGATTGTCAACAAGAGATTTATTACTTTTTTTAGAGATTAACTTACTTTGTAAACAAGGACGATTCATATTTAAAATTTATGAATTTAAGTTTTTTTATTTTAACGTATGGAGTAAATTTTTTATTGAGTCAAAATTATTGATCTATGAAAAACTTATTTTCCATCGTTTAGATTTGTAATTGTCAAACCTTTAAGCAATGTACGCTAAGGCACAAAGGGTATATCTTATTCACATCAAATACTTATGTTAAACCAATATATTATATATGTATGTAATTATCATATGTTTGAACATAAATTTTTTATTTTACCATAATTGATTAATATTTTTTTTTAATTTTAATAAGTCACGTAATCATGATAAATTATAGGGAAAAGGGTCTGATATATTCCTCAATTTTGTCATTTGGAGCTGATATACCCCTCGTTATAAAAGTGGCTCATATATGCCTTTACCGTTATACAAACGGCTCACATATACCCCTGCTGTTACAAAATGGCTCACATATACTCTTCATTTAACGGAAGTTAAAAAAATAGTTTTAAATTTATATTTATTACTTCTAATTTTTTTTAAAAAATTATTTAGTGGTATATATGATTCTTCTATCAAAGTTCAAGGTATATTTTAATATTTTTCATACATAAATTATTTTTTGACTTCTTCTATTATAATATTTGAGTTTCTTATTCTTATTTTGTTTTTTTTCTTTCATTCCTTAGTTGAAAGAAAAAAAATTTAACTATTTTTTTTGTGTGTATTGTAATTTAATTTCTTATTCGAAGAAAAAATTTGGTCATCTACAATAAGTTTTACAAGAATATAAGTGAAACATAAATAAATTTGATTATCAAAATAAAAATTATAAATTAGTCATTGAAACATAAAAAAGTCAAAAAAAATATGTTTGACGAGGATTAAATTTACTCATGCGGAAATTATATTTTTTAGAAAAAAATAATAAAGATTAAAATTAAAATTAATTTTTTTTCATTTTCGTTAGATGAAAAGGGTATATGTGAGCCATTTATTTACAAGTAGGGGTATATATGAGCCACTTTCATAACAAGGGATATATCAGCTCTAAATGACAAAGTTGGGGATATATCAGACCATTTTCCCTAAATTATATTAATTTGACATAGATATTCCGTGCAAATTTGTTTTTACCAACGCTAGATCACTTTATGAATATTGGAAAAATATATTTCACTACACATTTGATACAAGATCAACATATTGTTACAATTTTACTAGTTATAAAAAAAAGGGGTTACAAATTAAAGGAATGACAATGCTAAATATAACATGGCTATATACTTAATTGAAATATTTGTGCCTTGATCTCGTTGTGAACCCGAAAGAAATTCATTTCCTAATCTCTAATGTTGTTTTTGTTTAAGACGTGATAAAATTAGTTTGTGAAAATATTTTTTATCTTAATTTAATATCGTAGCAATTTGCTCATTTATTATTTTAGGTGTATGTCCATCTTAGTTTGGTCATTTAATTTTATTGTTCAAGTCATCTAAAAGTTTAACTTCGTTGGACTAAATAAATATGTAGCTCAATTTGATTCATAAGAAACATTGTTAAAATATTTATTATAATATTTGATTAGTAAAAAAAAAATTATTAAATTTGTTTGTTAACTAAATAAAATATTAAAATTAGGTAAATATTGCCCAAATTGGACTATAACATATAATTATAGAATTTATGCTCTATGAGGCAATATTTCAATCGCTGAAGCAAAAAAAAATAAAATGCAAAACCCTGAATATGAGGGACAAAAGTTAAAAGACTATCTTGTTTGAAGACAATTTCTATTTTCGTTCAATATTTTGTACAAAATTAAAAAAAGCTATTTAAGTAGATATATTTTACTATCATATATATTATTACTATCTGTACTTTTAAAGCTATTACGTATTTTATCACTAAATAAGAGTTTACTATGTATCTTAGATATATGTATATTTGCTATCAACCTTAAAGCTATTACGTATTTTATCACTAAATAAGAGTTTACTATGTTCTTAGATATATGTATTTTTACTACCAAACATACAAAAATAGGAAGATAGGCTAGTGAAATTTGGGAGGGAGGCGAACGAAATTCGTAGTACCCTAGGTATAATATGTGAATTACACTAGATAGACACTAGAGACTTGCATGTGTATGTTCGTATCTGTAGTGATTCACATGTATCTGAGATACTAGATATATGGGAGAGTGGTGAGCAAGATTTGTCATGTATTTCAGATACACTATATCAAAATTGATCTTTTGCGGCCATTAATTAGCAATTGCCGCTAAATATATATTTTTAGCGACAAATAGCTAGCACTCTTTGTAAATATCCTCAAAGGTTTTAGTGACACTGGACATAATGACACTTAACTAATATTGGTAAATATTTTAGCTCTCTTTATTAACGTGTCTATTCATTACCGCTAAAAGTTATTTGTATTGTAATAATACATGCAAATCCACTTGAATACAATGTATCTGAAACAAATTACACCTAATTGAATTCAACGTCATATATTCGAGATAAATGTATCTGAACATATTTAAAAACATCCAAAATAATAATATACATAATATTACAAACTAGAATATATATCTACGCAATCAACTCCTAGACTAGAGCTAGATTTAACAAAGTTCCCTATAAATTTTCATTCGGTTGACAGGTCTCATGCAAATGACAACTTCTAACTAGAAATCTTTTTTTATAAAATAATTTACTAATTAATATAATTAACCAAGATTAGTCTGCAAATTTTAAAATAATTAACTTGTATCGTGCACTTACTATTCATGTGATTTACCTATATACAACCCTATATATCAACCTATTGTCCTTTTTATTCTAATTCTTTAATTATGGCCATCTTTTCGTGCTCTTGACTATAGCTACATTTTCTTCTTGCACCTTACAATAATTTACGTATATAAGTACTCTTTAATTCCCTTTTGTATTACTTTTCCAGCCAACAAAAATTAAACCATAGTACCTATTTTATTTTAATTTTTGTTATAACTACTCTCTTTCTGATTCGCGCTATATATAAAAAAAAAATATGCAAAAACCTAACGGATTAGCTGCATGCGCATCGTGCAAGCATCAAAGAAAGAAATGCACGGACAAGTGTGTACTAGCTCCTTATTTCCCCGCGGAGAAAATTCGCGAATTCAAAGCAGTACATAAGGTGTTTGGGGTTAGTAATATCACGAAAATTGTGAAAAATCTAAAAGAAGATGATCGAAGAAGGGCGATTGAATCACTTATATGGGAAGCGTTTTGTAGGCAAAGAGATCCAGTTTTAGGCCCATATGGAGAGTACAAAAGGGTTTATGAGGAACTAAAGTTGTATAAAAGTCAATATCAACAAATATTACAAGCAGGGAGTAATAATAACAATACTGATAGTAACGTTAACGGAATGATATATGATGCAACAACACAAGGGTTGATTAATGGATGGAATATAAATACTAAGAGGAATGATATTAATTATATAAATCATGATAATTCAACTGTGGAATCATGGTCATCTTATAATAATAAGATTATAAATCCTTTACATCATGTCCAAAATATTGAAAAATTAAGAACAGAAAATAGTAATGGCTCTATAGTTATTGTGCCTCAACAACAAGTCTATAATGATTTCAACCAGCAATATTTTCTAACAGGTAGAATATATCCCTAGCAACATATATATTTTTTTTCTAAAAAAAATTAGATAAACTTTATCGATTTATATATATCGTTAAAGATTTTATACTACCATTATAACTCATTTTTACATGCATATATAGGTATGTATAGCCACTCACTAAAATAATAATTAAAATATTAGTAATACTTTTTGCATATGATGATATACATAGAATATACATAATTAATATATACTTAGCAAGTATTGTAATTATTTTAATCGAGCAGACAAATATGTTAAAATATCTTTATTTTATGTCATGTTTGATTGGTCACGTCTATGTATAGTGCTTTTTAAGAAAAGATTTGTATAGCTTATAGTGTAAACATGTCATGATATTTATATACGATTATAATTAAGGGTAAGTCTGAATATTTATTTTTTATTTTTTTGGTATATATACAGGTCAATATAATCCAATTAATTCAAAGCCAAGGGAAAGCATGTTGTGGGAAGACAACTCTTGAAAATCCTCAAAGTTTTTTCCATTTATTTTGTTTTTGTTTTTTGTTTTTATAATGTTTTGTTGTTTTCTCTAGCCATTTGATTTGTGCATATATACAAAATATTATTGCACAATATCATATGTTCTACGGTCTCTTCAATGAGAAGTTAAATGTTATTTTGTGAAACATTTAAGCTCTGTTTCGAGGGTAGTTATATATTAATTTATGATAATATAGTATTATATTTTATTATATATTGTATTATTCATTTCATTTCATTTCATTTTTATTTATATGTCATTAATTTAGATTTTGCGTCTCTTAAGAAACTATGTAAGTTTATCATTATACTCTATTCACTGCATAAAAATTGAGCTTTAGCAATTGCTGCTAAATATGTATTTTTAGCGGCAATTAACACTCTTTGTATATGTCTATAAAGGCTTTAACGACATTGGGTCTAGACACTTAACTAATAAAGACTTTAACACTCTTTATTAATGTATCTATTTATTGCCGCTAGAAGTTATTTTTGTGGTAGTGATCTAGTATTCTCTTGAAGTCAATTTTTTAATAAATAAATATATTAATTTATTTATTTTGATTAATTAATTGACTAATTAACGTGAATTAATCATTCAATTTTTTTACAGGGTGCACTATTTGGATTAAATTGAAAAATCAAACAAAATCGAACCGAATTCTAATTTGGATTATTTTTTTGATTTGATTTTGGATTATTAATTTACTTTGATTATGTTTCTAATTATTGACATAATCGAAAACAAAAAAAATCAAATCGAAAAGAGAAAATCCAAACCAAACCAAATTTATTCTTGTTTGGATTAGGTTACACTTCTCCAAAACCAAAAATCAAAAAAATTAAACTGAAAAATCAAATGCACAAACATAAATTTTTCTATGTTGGTCAAATTCATACGTCCAAGGCTAACTACTCTCAATGATAAATAGGAAGGATGATATTTATGCATATAATCACACCAATTTGGCCGATACACAAATGAGACTTTTCATTGTTATCTAATTATAAGTTTAATGATACATTAAAATAAAATTTAAATAATATTCAAAATAAAATATTTAAACTAATAATACAATACAATAGTTTGACTAGTTTGACGACCATCCAAACAAGCCGTAGTTAGTATAGTTGTATATAAGGATGAAGGACGATAAACATGTGTATAAACTCATCTTTATGATTTATTAACTTATCATATCGTTTATGCAAACGAACTAAAGCCTATATATATATACATATCCAAAATAGTGGTAGTTTAATAGAATTATTTTTTTTTTTACTTTTTTAAGTTTATGAAACACAATTTTTGACTATACAAAAACACTTTTCTTTCTTATAAATTTGGCCAAACATCTTAATTTTCTAATTAACTTTTAAATTAATTCTTTTTTAATTATGCATTGACTTACAAATTAAAATCCTCATCAGGAGGAGTCTGATTTTATTCTGCCTAAATAATAAATCAAGCATTAAGTCATTTTCCCACCTAACAAATTTATTACAACGTTAAAAATAACAAGTTTCATGCAAGATGAAGTATTTTTTGTGGTACAACGTCAAAAGTGACAAGTTTAGAATATATAATAATAATTTCCAAAACTATTTTTTTATTGACTTAATAATTTTAGTGGGAATGTTAGTTATTAGTTTAGGAGATGAATTGATGGGTTATAAGAATAGGTGAGAATCCTTCACAATTTAGGCGGACAGATTAATCTCTAATGACTTGTTATATCATTAAAAATTTGACTTATTGTTAACTGTAGAAGGTATTTGTGATCTCTCGAATTAATTGTGATGATATTTTTTATTCTAAAATATAACAGAGAGTTAAATAATCTATTTCGTATAGTTTAAAAATATTTTTGATTCTTTTTCGTAAAAATAATCTTGTATAACTAAAGTAAAAATGACTTCTTCCTTATATCCGCGCATTGTGGACTATAATTAGGAATGAAAAATATCTTTTTTCCCTCAATTTTTGTGACTTTTTTTCTCATTTATGCTTTATATTGGAAAAATTCAGAAGACACAATTAACATATTTTTTTGGTAAGTAAACATTTTATTTACCAACGTGAATATTATTATGTAACTGTAAAAAAAAAAAAACATACTTGGACATTCTTGCTCAAAGTCTACTGCCTATCCTTTTATGGTGAGATCCTCTTTCATGTATTTTTTTAATGATGTGTCTAATCATGAATTTTTCATTTCGTGCTAATAGATAATCAAATATAAATATTTGTTGAGTAATTATTTTTATATAAATCAATATTTATGGGGGAAAAAAAAGAAAGAATCAATCCAAATTTATGTAATGTATAAAAGTTCTTCTTTTTTTTTCTTACACAAAAAGATAATGGAACTAAGTTCATTATTTAGCTTATTAATCTCTTTGTAAATTCATAAATGACTTCTACGATGGATAATTTTATCAGTATATCTAATATTTGTTATATTTCATTCTTCTTTGTAGTTTCACTGCGCGCATTATTGCAATTTTTATAAATTTTTAATGAAAAACGTTTAGGCTCTTAGATTAGGAAAATTAAAACAAATCAGATTTTGAATTATTGAATTTTTCATAGTGACTAACGAGATTCTTAATGTCTACAATGCAGTTCATATTTTATTAAAAATGATATTCATCGTACCGTTAATTACTCTACTTGTTTGGTTAAATATTATTTCTGAATCCGTCACTGCGAGTATTGGAGTAAGGCAAGAAGCAGATGCGATAGTTGCACAAGATTAATGGGCGCAATCTCAGCAGCTTCAAATCATAGTTTAAAACCTTATTCTATAAAAATTAAAAAAGGAATTTACCTTGAATATATTCGAATTAAAAAATGGAAACCCAATATTGTTCTTCTTGGTGAGGGGATGGACAAGCTTTGGTGGTGGCATCAAGACATACGACATCGCGTAAATTTATATTATTTAATTACTTTGAATTCAAAATACATACATATATAATAAATTTTTTCACTATTAAGGTGTCAATGGGAACGCCTTAGACATCCAAAAGGATAGATTAAGTTTACTAATAAACCCCTAATTCGCCCATTTTATTTGGAGTACAACAATAGAGGAGCAGGTGCAGATACTACTAGACGGGTGAAGTGGGCAAATGTCACTAGGGATCCAAAGGCTGCATCAGAGTTCACGGTTAGGAACTTATATTCATAAGAGGTGGTAGCTGGATTCCTTCCATTGTTCCATATTATTTGGATCTAGTTAGCTAGTTCAATAAAAATAGTCCTTCACATTTCTTAGTGCAATAGTTGTATATTTAGTTCTAATATGATATGAATGAATTATGAAATAGAAAGTTTAATGATTGAGAGAAGAAAGAAGAGAGAAAGAGAAGAGTAATTTTAAGGTAGTTTCTGTTACTGATATTTCATCTATCTCAAAATGATTTACAGATACAACTATATATAGTAAAACTAACACCTAATTAATCTTGATAATTTGTTACACATTGTTACACAAGTACCACTTCAAGAAGTTAGTTACACAACTAACTTCTTGTAACCTATTTAATTAAGTAACTTCACTAGTATCTTTAACACTCCCCCTCAAGTTAGGTACCCTAAATATGTTTTTGAATACCTAACTTGAAACTCAAAACTTCATGTTGAACTCTAGGCAAACACTTGGTCAACACATCTGCTGGTTGCTCATTAGTACGAATGTAGTTAGTAGAAACCAATCCTTGCATAACCTTTTCTCTAATTAAATGGCAATCTATCTCAACGAGTTTTGTTCTTTCATGATAGACTGGGTTTGCAGCTATTTGTATAGCAGCCTTACTATCACTATAAATCTTACTTGGAAGTTTAACATCCACACCAAACTCTTTTATCAATCCAATTATCCATATTAGTTTTGCCACTGTGGATGCCATGCTCCTATATTCAGCCTCTGTTGAACTCTTAGAAACTGTTGTTTGCTTCTTAGATTTCCACATGATAGGAGAGTCACCAATCTTCACTATATATCCAGTTACAGACTTCCTAGAGTTAAGACATGCAATCCAGTCAACATCACAATAGGCTGATATATCCATGTTGTTATTGCTAGATAGTAGAACTCCTTGCCCTGGCTCTTTCTTTAGATATATAACTATCTGGACTGCTGCCTCCATATGAAACTGCTTAGGAGCTTGTAAAAATTGACTCAATGTTTGAACACAAAATGAGACATCAGGTCTGGTCATTGTAATATATAAAACTTTTCCTATTAGTTTCTGATAAATTCCTTGATCAGCCATAGGTTTCGCTTATTTTTGAGTACATGCTCATCATATTCCTTTCATGTTAATTTTACATTTGCATCCATAGGAGTCATAGCAGGTTTTGCAGCTCCTAAACCTGTTTCAGAAATCAGTTCTAGAGCATATTTTCTTTGATGCATAAGAATCCCCTTTTTTGACCTTGCAAACTCAATGCCAAAAAAATATTTTAGCTCTCCGAAGTCCTTTTTCTTGAATGCTTCCTGTAAATACCTTTTAGCCTCATTGATCAAACTTATACTTTCACCTGTGATAAGCATGTCATCTACATATATCAGAATGATTGTGATGCCTTTGGTGCTCCTTTTAATGAATACTGAATGATCATACTGACTCTGCATAAACTTAAACTTAAGAAGTGCCTCAGTTAACTTAGCATTCCATTGCCTAGGAGCTTGTTTAAGACCATACAAGGATTTTTTTTAACCTGCACACTCCCTTTGTTGTCTCCCCCTGACTTAGAAATCCTTGAGGCAACTCCATGTAAATCTCATCAAACAAGTCACCCTGTAAGAAGGCATTGAATACATCCATTTGATGTATATGCCACTGCTTTGCTGCTGCAATAGCTAGAGCAGACCTCACAGTCTTCATTTTGACTACTGGAGAAAGAGTTTATTGATTATTTATTCCTTCCCTTTGACTATAACCCTTGGCTACTAGCCTAGCCTTAAACCTTTCTACTTCACCAGTAAACTTGTATTTGATCTTGTAAATCCATTTACATCCAATAGGTTGTTTTCCTTCAAGCAGAGATACTACTTCCCAAGTTTTATTTTGTTGTAAAGCTCTAATTTCTTCTTTCATTGCTTCCACCCACCTAGGATCTTTGATGGCTTCATAGTAACTACTAGGCTTAGTATAAGCAGCAACAAAGCTTGATACTTAGGTGCCAAATGATCATAAGCAATATACTTGGATATTGTATAAAGAATTGTTTCATTCACACTTAGAGACACAAAGTCTTTTAACCATAAATGAGGATTTCTGTCTCTCTCTGGCCTTCTTTTTGCTTCTAACTGGTGTCACAGGAACTGCACTTTCTTCTGCTTGTGAACTTTAAACTAGACTTTGTGATGTTGTGCCTCCATTAAGAACACTTCTTTCAATGTCATCTCTATCACTATATCCAACTTCACATAGAACATACAGCTTGTTAGAAGACACATCAATATTTGTTTTGAAGGGAAAAACATCTTCCTTAAAAGCTACATCTCTACTAACCAACACCTTCTTTGTGTCTAAGTCATAGAAAACATACCCTTTTTGAGTCATTGAATACCCCATGTGAACTGTCATTTTTGATCTAGGATTTAAGTTATCCAACTCATATACTACTTTTGCATAACAGAGACATCCAATAACTCTTAAATATGCGAATATCAGGTTTCTTCCTATATAGTACCTCATATGAAGACTTGTTTTGTAACACTGAACTAGGCAACCTATTAATTATGTGTACAACAGCTAACACACATAAACCCCCATAGCTTAATAGCTATCTGAGCTTGGAACCTTAAGGCTCTTGTGACTTCTAGCAAGTGCCTATGCTTTCTCTCAACTACTCCATTTTGCTGAGGAGTATATGCACAACTTTTCTGATGAATTATACCAAAGTTGTTGAATAATTCTTTACATACTGAATTGACAAACTCAGTACCATTATCTGATCTGATAACCTTAACAAACCTACCAAACTGAGTTTTAACATACACAATAAACTGTTTAATAACTACACAAGCATCAAACTTCAATTTTAACAAATAAACCCAAGTCATCCTAGAAAAATCATCACCCATAGTGAGGAAAAATCTATTACCATCAAAAGTAGGCACTTTGTAAGCCCCCCATACATCCATATGTACAAGTTCAAAGCAAGCTGAAGTTTGAATACTACTTGTAGGAAAGGAATTTCTAACTTATTTTGCACATGGACAAACACTACAATTATGCAATGTCTTTGCTATATATTCAGCTTTGATTGACAGAACCTTATTTAAAGACTTTGTAGATGCATGCCAAGCCTCTTGTGCCATAGATCCACATCTTCAGACTTCTTGAGAGTATGACTTCCTTTCAGAGAACACAAAAAATCACTGCTAGAAGATTGTTGTAACTTGGACTTTCCAGATAACACATACAGTCCATTCTCCTCTCTACCAATCTCCCCCACCATTTCATTGGAGAAATCCTGAAATAGGCAAAAATCAGGGAAAAAACTTACTGAACGTCCTAACTCTTTTGTGAGTCTTGACACAGACAACAAATTGAACTTGAATTGAGGCAAATACAACACATTGGTTAAAGAAGTCCTTGTAGACACATTACTAGTTCCTGTATGAGTAACTTTTGCAATGTTTCCATTTGGTAAATATACTTCTCTAGACAACATAGTAGGTTTATTTAACAATCTTACATCAGCTACCATATGATTAGTGGCTCTAGTATCCACTATCCACTCATTAATATTGTTAACTACACAATCACTTGCCTGATTTACATTGTCTTGACTCATACCTGCTAAGCTTGCCGAGGAAACTAAATTTACAGCAACTCTGTTGTCCTCAACATTCTTCAAAAGATGCACAATCTGATTATATTGATCTTTGGTAAATGGATACAACCCCATCTCAGATGTTCCGTTTTGTGGAGAAGAATCCACTTTTTTTCCTTTGTAATCTGACATATTTTCTTCTGCTATACTCTTATTTGTGACACATTGTTCTGACCCTTGAAACTGATTATCAGTGATTGCATTATGAGCCCTTGCATTTGAATTATATCCATTACTATTCGTCTGCACTCCTTTTTTCCTAAACTTGTTATAATCTGATGGATATCCTACCAACTTGTAACACACTTCTTTGGTATGACCCTTCATTTTACAAAACTCACATTGTTCATTATAATTCCTCTTGTATCTATTAGTACCATTTCTTGTAAACATAGCCATGTCAATATTACTTCCACTTGCTGCATGATTTGGATTCAAGATTTCTGTGTTTGCAGCTATAGACCTTTGTCCTTCATCACTCATGATCATTCCATATGCATGATTAACAGATGGCATAGGACTCATTAGCAAGATTTGACTTCTTGCTTGATTATAGGAGTCATTTAAATCCATAAGAAACTGAAACAACTTTAACTTCTGAAGATGTACCACAAAATCTTTGGGTTTCTCACAGTTACAACCAGGATTTGGAATAAGATCTTCAAACTCTTCCCATAAGTTTTTCAATCTAGAAAAATATGCAGAAACTGTAGATGTACTTCGACTCAGTGTTTCAATCTCTTTATGTAAATTGTAAGTTTTTGAACCATCAATTTTGTTGAACCTTTCGAAAAGTTCCTCCCATACTTCTTGAGCATTAGAGGCATACATTGTGCCTCCTAATAATCCTTTTTCCACTAAATTCATCAACCATGACAGAACTACAACATTCGCTCTCTCCCAGTGATTTTCCATCCCATTTGGAAACACTTCTTTCTTGCACAATCCATCCACTAATCCAAATTTGTTCCTTTCAAGCAAAGCTACCCTCATTGACCTATACCAAATTGAGTAATTCTCTACTCCTGCTAATTGAAACGATATAATTTGGGTTCCACTTACATCAGACTAAGACAGAAACAATGGATGATTATAATCAATACCAATCTTTTGACTTGATTGACCAGATTGAGTAGAATTTAATGCTTCCCCTGTCATTGAAAGCCGTAAAGAAAATACTGCAACAAAAATTTAGAGAGATTGATTCTTCAATCTAGAATGATTATTGATACTATGAATCAGAATATCTAGTTACTACTCTTATACCATGATCTGATAGGAAAAATTATGAAATAGAAAGTTTAACGATGGAGAGAAGAAAGAAGAGAGAAAGAGAAGAAGTAATTTGAAGCTAGTTTGTGTTATTGATATTTCATCTATCTCAAAATGATTTACAGATACAACTATATATAGTAAAACTATACCTAACTAATCTTGATAATTTGTTACACAAATACCACTTCAAGAAGTTAGTTACACAACTAACTTTTTGTAACCTATTTAATTAATTAATTAATTTCTAGAAATTTCTCTTTGTTACTGATCTCAAAATACATTATTTTTTTTATTTCGTCTCGTACTTTTTTTTATCAATCATTTTTCTTCTTTTTAACTTTTCTTTTCTCTAGCGCATTTGAATTTCGAAAACAGTAATAAATTTCTAGAAATTTTTTTTATTGTTTTTTCTGCCATTTACATTATATATTGGATTTTCATTAAATCATGTTAGTGTAGGCCATTTTAATATGGAAAAATTACATAAATTAATACATTTTAAAAAATAATTACTGATTTTAGCTATACTTTTTGTTTATTACCATTTATAGCAATACTTTGTTAAATCTCTAATATGAATTAAAAGTGAATTATGGTATGCAATATATATGAATTATAATTGTTTTTTGAAATATATCATGTTTGTTTGGTAAAAAATTGTCACATTGTATTATAAATGTATTAAAATGTGTGATAAATGTATTATTCATCATTAAAATTTGTATTATATGTGAATAATAAATTATTCTTTGTAATATGTATTAAACTTGTATTATAAATGAATTAAAAGTGATCAAGTGAGATAAAAATATTATTGCTATAAATGGTAAATATTTTTTTATTATAGTATATTTATGTAAGTTTCCCTTTTAATATTATAAAAAAAATGTTGCATTGCCACATTGACCATGGTTGCATTAGGATATATATTTTATTGGCTTTCATTTGTGGGGAGTAATGGGTGTTGACCGTTTATGGCACTAAGTGCTACTTTACTCCATTGGAGTTACTTTATTGGCAGCATTGGTAACATCCTTAGCAGTTGGTGGTTGTGAGCCTTTCATCCCATTTACTTCCTACTCTTTATTCCTCCATTATACCTTGTAACATATGTAATTCCTAGGGCCATTTATCTTCACTATTTACTACACCATTATCTTTCTATTCATTGCTAGGAAGACTTCTTGTTGTATAAATAGTGGTGGTCTTCATGTGGTTTGTACACACAAAACACAAGAGAAAACAAAGAGTGAAAGAGTTAGTCTAAAAGAGAGTTCTTATTAGTTGAAAGGAGACGTTCTTTTTTGTAGAGATTCGGACTCAACTCTTGTCCAGAGTTGTTGAGTTATACTTTGTGAAGGTTGTTGTATCATGGAGGGGACAAGTCAAAGAGGACTACTGCTGAACCGAAGAAAACATTCGCTGCAGTGGCCTTGAATCTCCTTAAAGAGAGTGAGATATCCGCGCCTCAGCCTGAAAAGATTTATTTCTTCATTTTATTTTCAATTGTAATCTTGCAATTTTATCATCTTGTAAGTTTTTTCACTAACATTTTAAGGAGATTCAAAGATGACTACAATTGAATAAACCGTGGATGTCAAGATGGGAGACCTCAACAAGACATTTCGGTTCAATGGTAATCATTTTAAGAGATGGGAGTAAAGTACTTTTCTACTTAAGTCTATTCAATGTTTCTTATGTATTAACCGAGAAGAATCCAAATAAAGAAAATATCACCTCTATGAATGATGATGAAACTATTTCTCATCTCCAGAAAGTGGAAAAGTACGATGGTGATTCCTATAAGTATCGGTATTATCTACTTAATTGTCTATCTGATAATTTTTATGATTATTATGATAGAACTTACTCTAGTGCAAAGAAAATTTGAAAGGCATTGCAGAGTAAGTATGATATTGAAGAGGCTGGAGCGAAAAAATATGCAACTAGTATTTTTTTTCATTTCCAAATGGTGGACAACGAATCAGTGGTAGATCAAGCTCAAGACTTTATCATGATTGTTGGAGATCTTAGATCCGAAGAGGTTAAAATTGGAGATAACCTTATTGTTTGTGACATAGTAGATAAACTTCCATCTTCTTGGAAGGAATCTCGACAAACTATACGCCACAAACAAAAGGAAACTTCTCTTGGAACCTTGATAGTAAAAATCCGCATGGAAGAAGAAAAAAGGGGCCAAGATGCACTTTTACAAACAGAAGAGAACAATATCACAACAAAGGTAAATTTAATTACTTCGATTAATGCTACTCCTGAAACTCATAAAAATACTTCTTTGAAGCCTAAGAATAAAAAATTCAAGAAAAATAATGGTAGACCTCACAAGAAAAATAATGGAGAAAATCACCAAGTTCAAGAAAAGCAATCATGCTTTGTTTGTGTTAAGAGTGGGCATATTGCTCGATTTTGCAGATTCTGAAAACGTGGTTCTAACCCTCAGGCAAACGTTATCGAAGAACTTTTTGTGGCGGTGATTATCGACATAAACATGGTTGAGAATGTTGATGGATGGTGGGCTGATTCTGGTGAAAAATTATCATGTCTGTTATGACAAAGAATGGTTCAAAAAATATACTCATTTTGAGGATCCATGCTTGGTGATGCTCACACTACTCAAGTGCTTGGAAAGGGAGATGTTGAATTGTGTTTTACTTCTGCAAGAGTATTAACTTTAAAAGATGTACTTTATACTCCTTCCATGAGAAAAATATGATGTCTAGTTTTCTTCTTAACAAAACAGGCTTTAAACAGATTATTGAATCTGATCAATATGTAATAGTGAAGAAGGGTACTTTTGTGAGTAAGGGGTATGCATGTGATGAGATGTTTAAGTTGAATATTGAGATGAATAAAACTTTTACTTCTGTTTATATGCTTTCCTGTACTAATTTTTGGCATGCTCGTTTGTGTCATATTAATGATCGTTATGTTGGAATCATGAGTAGTTTAGGATTAATACCAATGGTTAAAAAGAATTTTGAAAAGTGTGAGGCTTGTAGTAAAGCTAAGATAACTAAAAGGCCTCATTTTCAAGTTGAAAGAAAAACTAATTTGTTAGATTTAGTTCATACTGATATTTGTGAACTTGGTGGAATTCTAACTCGTGGAGGTAATAGATATTTTATCACTTTCATTGATGATATTTCTAAGTTTACATATGTTTACTTGATGAAAAATAAAAGTGATGCTTTTGAAAATTTCAAAACTTATCTCAATGGGGTTGAAAATCAGTTTGGAAGAAAAATAAAAAGAATTAGAAGTGATAGAGACCGTGAATATGAATGAAATGAGTTTAATTCTTTTGTTAGATCATTGGAATAATTCATGAAACTACTCCTCCTTACTCTCCTTCATCTAATGGAGTAGCAAAAAGGAAAAACAGAACTTTGGTTGAATTGACTAATGTCATGTTTATTGGGTCACATGCACCTTTGAATTTTTTGGGTGAAGCTATTTTAACTGCTTGTTATGTATTGAATCGTGTGCCTCAAAAAAAATCAAAACTAACACCTTTTGAATTGTGGAAGGTTACAAGCCAAGTTTTGAATATCTAAGAGTTTGGGGTTGTCTAGTCTTTGTGAGGCTAATGGATCCCAAGATTACAAAGTTGGGTAAGAAAGTTACCACTTGTGCTTTTCTTGGTTATGTTTCATATAGTACAACATATAGATTTTTTTTAATCTTGAAGATAATATTGTAATAGAATATGGTGATGCCATTTTTCATGAAAATAAATTTCCTTTTGATACTAAAAATAGTGGGGGTCAAAGGATTGAACAAAATATATTGTCACTACCTAGTTCTTCTACTTCAACTTTGAAAAATAAAAAAGTTGGTGATTTTGAGTTAAGAAAAAATAAGAGCTAGAGTAGAAAAAGATTTTAGTCCTGATTTTTATGTGTTTAATGTTGAAACTGACCATATAACTTTGAAAGAAACATTATCTTCACATGATTCTATTTTTTGAAAAGAAATGTAAATGATGAAATGAAATCTCTAATTTCTAATAAAACTTGAAAGTTAGTTGATTTGCCACCAGGTTGTAAAATAATTGGTTGCAAATGAGTCTTAAGGAAAAATTGAAACTGGATGGTTCTATTGATAAATACAAGGCTAAGCTATTTGCAAAAGGTTTTAAGCAACTAGAAGACCTAGAATTTTTTATACTTTTTCTCCGGTAACAAGAATTACATCCATTAGACTTTTAGTTGCTATGGCTGCAATTTTTGATTTGCAAATGGATATAAAAACTGTTTTTCTAAATGGAGACCTAAATGAAGAAATTTATATGGACCAATCCGAGTGTTTTGTTGAAGCAGACCAAGAAAGCAAAGTATGTAAACTTACTAAATCTGTATATGGCTTGATACAGGCACCAAAAGCAATGGCATGAAAAGTTTGATTCCTGCATGATTGAAAATGATTTTAAAACAAATGAGTGTGATAAGTGCATATATCATAAATCTTGGAATAATTCACATGTGATGATTTGTCTATATGTTGATGATTTGTTGATCTTTGGCTCTAACATGAATGTTATTGATGAAGCTAAAAATGTTTTTAGAAGCCATTTTGATATAAAAGATTTTGGTGAGACAAATTTAATTCTTGGAATAAAAATAACAAGATCTTGTGAGGGAATTTTCCTTGACCAGTCACATTATGTTGAGAAAATTTTGAAAAAATATAACTTTCATGATTGCAAGCATGTTGCTACTCCTTTTGATTTAAGTGTTCACTTATTTCCTGTTAAAAGTGAAAAGGATGTAATAAATCAAAAGTAATATGATAGTATAATCGGAAGTTTGAGATATGTGACTGATTGCACTAGGCCTAATATTGCATATGCAGTAGGAGTACTTGGAAGGTTTGCAAGCAAGCCAGGTAATGAACATTGGCATGCTATAACAAGAGTTATGAGATATTTAATTGGAACGAAAAATTGTGGTTTGTTCTATAAAAAATATCCTGTTATACTTGAAAGATTTTGTGATGCAGATTGGAACACTTTGTCAGGTGATTCATGTTTAACCACTGATTATGTCTTTACTTTAGGTGGTGGTGCTGTTTGTTGGAGATCAAAAAAGCAAACTATAATTGCTAACTCTACCATGGAGGCTGAACTAATTACTTTAGCTTCAGCTAGTGAGGAAGCGAATTGGTTAAGAGATTTATTGTTTCAAATTCCTTATTTTGAAAAATCAATTCCTCCTATTTAAATTCATTGTGATAACACTGTTGCAATTGGTAGAGTTCAAAAACATTATTACAACGACAAATCCAGACCTATAAGAAGGAAACACAGTAATGTAAGATTATATCTGACAAATGGTACCAATAATATTGATCATGTCAAATCTTGTGGTAATCTTGCAGATCCTCTTACTAAGGCCTTAATAAGAAAAAAGGTCTGGAGCACATCGAGGGGGATGTGATTGAACCATATAAATCCTTGAGTCATATATGAGA